CCTGCCCACGATGTAGCTTCGCAAAACAACAGAGTCGGAAAATATGTTTATGTAGGTAACTTTTAGTAAAAACCTTAAAAGGATTAAATCAGAAAATGTCTAAAAGTAAAAATATTTTGCCACAGGTTATGTTTGCAAACGGTATGACGCAACGGTTTGACAACAAATGGGTAGGTTGTGTCTTGCACTTAGTATTATGATATAAAATGTAATACATGAATTTGATTGAATTATTTTATCATATTTTATGGAGTAAAAAAAAAACTGTTCCAAGTGTTCAGGGTGTCATCCATTAGGTAAAACAAGATGGAATAAAATCGAATTAACCTATCTGTCCATTAATTTATCAATCAAACATCTTTAAGAATTATAATCCTAATCTACAACATTGACTTGCTTATCTCAATCAACTAAGATTCAGTTCCAGGGCCACAAAACCAATATCGCAGATTCAAACGGAATATTGCAGATTCTCTGATTGCACGGTAATCAGCAAGCAACTCTTTAACAGATTTCCGCAAGTGATTGCTACCAAACGAGCAATCGCTCGCTTCCGTTGAGACTTCGCTTACTTTTAATTCCCTAAATCTATTAATCGGCTCCGCTTTCTCCTCAAACAACCTTCATGCTTCTAATTTGGCTAAACCCGCTGATTGAATCCAGCCTTGATGCATTAAAGAAATTGATGACATTAAGCCCTTGGTTTTTATTCTTCCTGTCGTTGAATTACGTTTACCACCGGCAATCATTCTTTTACGATGATTGCAGTAGGTATTAAGATTTCAAATGCGTTTGCAAATCAATATAGCTTATGAATTTTAAGCTCTTGAGGTTAATTTAAATATTTAATATACTAATGGTAATTTTTTTCTCAGAAAAATTTGTTTCAAGTAAAATGATTGAAATTTCAGATGTCCAATGAACTGGTGCCGAATTATAGGTTTAATGTGACAGATATCACACGACAATAATTCACTTTGCTTAACGACTTGATTTTTTGTAATAAAACACCAGTAGGAATTTAAAAATTACACGTTAAAGTAATAATTTTGGCTCTGAAATGTTAATGTATTAATCCAGTAAGGGAAAATATTGTCACAGTTACGTAGCTATAGCATGACAAAACCAAAATACAGTAATAAAAAATGTTGAACTTACAACCATCAGCACTCACAAGGGCAAGAAAACCGATGACAAACACATGATAAATTCTGAATCAGCTGATTAATAAAGGACCTGCTGATTTAATAATAGACCAGCTGTTGAGCCAATCAGGTGATTAGATGATCAAACGTTCTAGCCCGCCCCTCTAATCTGGCCCTTAGCGAAGACGGGTACTGTATCTTCGAGTGATGCTCACTTTGGTTTTTACTACAATCATTGACGATATATACCTGTAGGTATATATAGTCAATGCTACAGTATTAACTTACTAAATGATACACAGTAGGCCCTAACTATTTGAAAACGTTGATACTTTCTAACGCTAAACTGCTGTGTAAAAATAAGTTACTGATAGTAAAACTATAATTACGAATAGAGAGAGTTGAAACCACTTAAAAATATTAATTTGTGTTATTACTCCTATATTAGTACTAAATAACAAGTTTCAATCAACACAGTCCATTTAGCTGTAGTTTAAAAAAACGTTTTACATACGATTATTACCACACTATCACTTGAACATTACACTGAAATCAGAAGATTGGATTTAACGTTTCAAACACAACCGCATCGAAATAAGATGAATCCCAGTTTCAAAAGTAAAATTAACTTATGTAATTATGTCAATTTTTTTATAGGAAAAGCCTCTGGATTGACCGTATGAAGAACCAAAAACCGTATAAATAATGTGTAGGCCTATACAAAGAATTTTGAAAATACCTGCATAAAATAATTTGTGCTCGACTCCAATAGTCCATCTGTAATAGTATTCAAACCATGTCTTAAAGACATTAACAAGAAAATTGCACTCAGGAAGTTACTAAATAAATCAAAACTCTCATATTTGCATGTAATCTACAGTAATTACCATCTGTGAGGACAACACAATTCAATACTAAAGAGAAAGTGTAACTAAAGTAACCTTATAAAAAGTTAGCTGTACAGTACTTTAAAGCTTAATAGAACATCAAAAATTACAAACAAACAAGAGAAGTGTCGTGATTCGCTGGTTAATTCTCAACTTAACAAATAGCTCCAGATTTCGCGGCATGCAAAGTGGGCAAACGAGAGCGGCGCTCATTTGGAAAATGCGCACGCGCCATTCGCCTCTGACCAGTAAAGTTTTATGGGGCAGGTTATTGTGAAGCTATCTGGAGAACTACATGACTCTGCACTCCTCTCCACTCGTGGCTATTTGTCTTGAATGCTTACACGGTTTAAGTTTTACATCTGCTGTTCACGAAATGTATCAACAACACTTGGCGTCCCTCAGGGTTCCATACTGGCACCCATTTTCTTTATCATACGATATGCCTCCGTATAATATAGCTAAGTTGAGTGGGCATAGTGCTCACCTAGCAATCTAAAGTAGCCAAGACGATCTTGAGAAAAATGGTAAGCTTAATAAATAATCCTGATTAAAGAACCAGTTATTTTTAATAAGTAAAAACTATGTTTGCATGCAACACTCATTCTTTTTACACTCATTCATCTTCACATTAAAATATTCATTCAGTTGTGTCGGCATCATTCACAGAATTTATCAAGCCGAGGACTTGGTGTCCCTCAGGGGTTCACACTGGGACCTCTTCTCTTTATCGTACCGCGATATGCCTCCGTATTAAATATCTTCCCATTGTTCCACTGACTTATTCTAGAGAGCGACTACGAGTTTTGTACCCGGGGTATATTACCTTACATGCCGTCCCTGAAATGGAAACACATTCGTGTTTTTGTAGAACTTACAAGCCATTAAGTTGGTCCGGCTGACGTGTATATTGTGCGACTATTTCGGCATTTCTCGAATTGGGGAGAAATCTGGCATGTACGGGACCGGTTGTGTCTTAAATTGTCGTAAAGATTTTATTATCACATGATGTCATAATGATATGAGGTGAAATGGTTGTCTCATAGCTATATATAACACAGACATATCTTACAGACTTGTGACTGCACAATTGTAAAAATTAAATTGTATAACCCGCTTATTTCGGATAATGAAACGGTCGTTTGCATTTTTCTATGAAAATGAATTGTTCTTGATATGAATAAACCTAGATAATATGTCTTGTTTTGTCACAGTAGTGTATTTGTTAGATTACATTGCGTTCACCCACTTAAATTAATTATATAAGATATTATATACAAATACTTAAAAGGTATAGTTTCGATAAGACAAGTCAATAACTTCTGGAGAGATATTAAAACATTTGTGAAACATCCAGACAGACGGCTATAAAAGAAGTAATTTAGTCGAATACGACATTTAAATATAATTTTGTTTACTTCCTTCAGAAACCATATTGGTGTTTATTTTATAAAGTTCCTTTGATTATAGAGTGTCTGAAGTAGAACTATATATCCAACTCGAAATTAAAATATTCTTAATTCTGACCCACATGAAAACAATACCTTGAATTACAAGATCTTGGGGAAATCAGCTGATTTGGGTGCAGGTTTTCGGATTATGATCCTCCGCTCGGCCACAAGCACGAGCTTTCCGCGGTCAGTACGGAATACGCAACAGCTGATTATAATTTGGCGGCAGAGGTTGTGATTGGTGCCGAGTTCTCACGTCAGCTAGCCAGCGTAATTGGGTTGGGCGGTCCGTAATTATAGGTAAGGTAAGGTAACTGGGGGTCGTTGTTGTACCGTACCGTCTTCGCGGTAAAGCGCTCTCCAGCAAACTACAACACAGGCTAGAGAATAAATCTACCTGAACAGGGTTAACTGGAGAAAGTCTACATATCCACTGAGACGACCTGAGAATTTAAATACTATTGGGAGTACAGTATAGATCATATTTTTTATCGTTTATCATTTCATTGGGATGGCGACGCAATAGTGTGCATTTAAAGCTAAATACGAGATAAGAACTAAATAAAAGTTAATTACAGTTATAAACAAAATCTTGTAATGAACATGAGTTAGCTTCCTCACAGCGAAACTCTAGGCCTTGCTTACTGGTTGCCTTTTTGGTCAGCGTTCTAATCAATAATCCGTGTGAATCATTCGCTTTATACAAGCAATTAGGGAGTAGGAAGCGCTCCGCGTGTCTGTAACGGACGGCTGGAGATAAGGTTTATTAAATAGCTTCATCGTCAAGCGACTGCAACTGAGCGATAAGAGACGCAAGCATGGCCAACTGGGGCATACAACATTAGCATAAGATGTGGTTACTACTGAGTGCTACTCAAACAGTTGGCTAAGAACATCAGGATTATCTCAGACATGCTGATGTTCTTAAGCAACTGAGCGATAAGAGACGCAAGCATGGCCAACTGGGGCATACGACATTAGCTTGTGGACAATACTGTGTGCGTCTCAAATAGTTGGCTGGTGACCCCACTGGGGCATAACCGCAATAGCATTGTGGCTACTACTGTTTGCAACCCAAACAGTTGGCTGGTGACATGCTAATGTTCGCAACTGAGCCATAAGAGGCGCAAGCATGGTCCACTGGGGCATAACTGCAATAGCATAAGTTGTGGATACTAATGTTTACAACCCAGTTGGTTGGTAGGTAGTTACTGATTATCCTAAATAAAATACGATACAAGAGACATAAGCACGCCTCACAAATAGTTATCTGTAAATTTACAATTATATCAGAATAAATAGAGAGGTTTTTTTACAATTTATTGTAGGTTAGCAATTCATGACAAGAAGCGATTTTCTCAAAAGTCGTTTGAGTATGTGGAAACCTACCATATAAATCGTGACAGCTATGACACATATGGATACACAATTTTCAAAACCAATGGCAGTTTGGGGAAATCTTATGGTCAAAAGATAAATTTTATTTCTACCACGATCCTAGTAAATATAGCGCTTACTTTGCATGGAAGGACGGTCAAAAGAGAAGGAGGACCGGCCAGACTCTGAAACAGAGCCACGACTTCTGTAATGTATATACAATATTGTCACCACAATCACAACACAGTACCTAGTGTAGTCGTCAATCCCGTGAAACTAATTACAATAACTGATAATCGTATGGCTTTTAGGAGACAGAGTTCAGTAAGGAGAATGTCCTTTTCACCTTAGAGACCAACCCGAGTTTGTTTTTGTAGGTAGTTGAGTTTAAGATGGGCTTTGAACCACTGGGTCATGATATTATAACAAGTCATTGGTGAATAACGAGATTCGAACCCAGGAGTTCAGTACAGAAGTCTCGCTCTGTAAATACTTTACTAGCCGCGATTCTCAGTGAAACTATTTGACCAAACGTTTTGGAATTTACATAATCTGTAACATTTTGAGTCTATATGGATTATAAATTTGTAATAATAGGAAGATGAATGATATAATATTTTAAATGGTAACGCAGTGAAAGCAGAATTCAGATTTCATCGCTTAATACAACGCATCGGTCGTTTAAGGATACATAATGATGAAAAAATATGCACTTTTTCCTATATGCTCAGATTGTGATACCCCATTAGAAAACTTAACATTTTTTTATCGTTTAAGACAAAACACGTAAATTCAACTAATCAATGGAATGTTTATTCTGTTTGAAAGAAATTAAACGGAGTTCCGAATGACTGCATCGATGTAAAATTTATTGGTCATGTAGCTGTTACCATCCCAAATAAATCAAACGGAGTTCCGAATGACTGCATCAATGTAACATTTATTGGTCATGTAGCTGTTACCATCCCAAAGAAATCAAACGGAGTTCCGAATGACTGCATCAATGTAAAATTTATTGGTCATGTAGCTGTTACCATGTCACGACACCGACAGCCAAAGTACCCGAGGATAGCACACGCTCAGTAGCCCAGGATCCCAACTAACCTCGAGGGGACCTTGGCAATGATGAGTCTGTAGTCAAGGGTACGTCTCAGCTACTGCACAATTGTTTATATCAACGAGACTAAACCTCCTATAATACTAAAACCCCCCGGTAAATCTCCATGGTATATCTATTATATCCCACTCAATCCAACAGTTTACGATTTGTATACAACTCTTTATAATTTGAGTCCCACATAATAGCATTGTTTACAATTTATAACATACACTTCACCATTTATGTGTCAGTTACCTCAGAGTTTACTGTCACATTTCACATCATCCCACGATTTTCTATTTATATCCCAAAGTTTGTCATTGTATTTATCCAGCAGTCTACGCAAAATAAACTTTCCTATATACTCCGCGCTTCGGTCAAACCACTCGTTCAAGTCTCTCGCATCAAACAATAAGAAAATTGACTATAGTTATGCCAGTTGTATAACTGTTATAACATTTAGATATTTTATAAATATTATCAACATTATTCCAACGATCAATATAATTTACAGTTTTAACGTTGGGAAATATATGCATACATTTACCTTCAGTTACTTTGTAATAAAACTAAAAATATGACCACAGTACTAATCTTCCAGTAGGCTACGCACTAATAATGGAATACAACAGTCGAAATACAGTACAGAATTTAAATTTGGAAACGTATGAATTGCTTTATTCAACTATTTTTATTTTCTCTAGGCTAACATATATTTTTAATTTATGTGATGGTAAACAAACTTTAATCTTACGCCCACACAAAAACTCCATTATCTCTTCAATAAACTAACAAGCCGGCAAAATTGACCCGGTTTTAAGACAGATTTATCAATTATATCAATAAAGGATCAGGAAGCTTCGACAACAGCTTCACTATTAATAGACCCTCTAGGTGCTGAAAACATCGTTTAACAATCCCCAGCCTTGGGTGTGACCTTACCTTCGCCCCAAGTTCAACCTCGGTTCGGACCACATACCTCAGGCCTCACTAGACCATCAACCAACTACAGCGGAGGTCGCAGAAATTGAGACATTAGATCATTAGGGTGTCGTTGTAACGTAGGAAGAAGTAGGCGGAAGTTCCTCTTCATTTTTTGGAGGTAAATACAACAGTAGTTTGAAATACTGTATGCTGAAACGGTTTCTTTTTTAGCTTGTGAGTGGGTTTAGGAAGAAGAAATGTGTTGAAGTCCTTCTTTTTCCTTATTTTTTAGGATTCTTTTGAATCGTTTAAAGGCGGGTTTGTAATTTTGAAACACTTTATGTGTTTGAATTTGCATGAACATTTCCTACTTTACTATAGTATTATTATTATTTCTCCTTATTATTCTTCCTCAAACATAGTTCTAAAAGTAGGAAAACATTGTTTATTTTTGCTATAAATTAGGATTTATAATGTGTGAAGAAATATAATGTGGCTTGTTTTTAGCCCCTTAAGTTTATAAATCGATGGCCAAAATACTATACCTAAGAGGGTTTTCGGCAAGTTTGTAATTTGGGAAGAACCAATGAGTAGAAGTTCTTCAATATAGGGCTTTTAAGCTTTACATTAATGGCAAAAACTGTAATTAGCAGTGCAGTATTTATTTTACCTTGAAGACGTATTATTAATTTGGAAAATACTAATGTACAAAGATTCACTTTTCGCTTTCGTTTCAAAAACTTTGCGTAAACCAGAGATACATCACTTTGCTCTCATACACACTTGGTTGAAATAGACCAACAAAGCGCTTGAGTGCAGGTATTTAATTTAGGATCAGTTAACTTAGAACTTCAGAACTTAATTTCTGAAATTTCTGCTTCGTTGTTATAAAAAATGTGCTGTATTTGGATAATAGTTTGAAATACACGAACTTATTCTCTTGGTGGCAGGGTTTTACTTAATCACATTATCGAAACAATAATTTACTTACTACTCGTATTTTAATACTAAAAATAAATATAAAAATAGATACAAATAGTAGAATGGAGTGAGATTACCTATCTATCTTACTAGTACCAGCTTTTTATTTGCTCAAGACCATTATATCCTGATAATATAGTTTCTTCAAATAAGGCATGTGTACAACAATCAAGCAGTAAACACCATACAGATCCAGGAGGTCCCCATTAAGTGGGTTGGCATATGGACCACGTTTAGTGAATGGCACATTAGCTGCCCATACGCCATCCGCTATACGTTGGATGAATACGCGATTTGTATACGCACTTATCTCTGGAGAAAGCAAGCTTGGCAACCAGTTGTCCAGTCTCCATTAATTTACTTTTCAAAGTGATGTATCGTCTGTGAGATTATTCATGGGATGTTTTCTCCTTAAGACAGTGTAGTAATGAGGAATCTGCAATGAGATGCGTTATTGATTTATCCGACTTCGTGATTTGAACACGATTAAATCTTTTGGTACTGGTCCTTTGCGATCTTTAAAATTCACTTTGTATCCAACAAGGAATCGATACGAGTATTTACTCATCATTGTCTCGAGAATGGATTTTTGACAGTATAAATAGGTACATATCTTAATACATAGTACCTTTAGGTACATACCCGTAATCAATAATAAATTTACCCTTGGGCTCATGACTAATTTTAGAATTGATGACGTAAGGTATATTGTCTTATGTATATTGTCGATACGAGGAGCTTTCCTGCTAAATTCTATCATCAATCAAATATACATACTCTAATTTAAATAGTATATTTTATCAAAGGTACAATTACTACAAGGTAAAAACGATAAGACGATAAAACTTCATAATTTTAATGATTTAGTTTTTACTCAAGTGCTTTATTTACCTTTGAACAAAATTTTCACCAAAGATGTATTTGTATACTAACTCTTGCCCTGTAGTATTGCAGCCAAAGAGCAAATGTTGGTGAGTAGTTATAGTGTTTGCTAAAAAAATAGAGGACGCTGGTTTGATCCTGAGAAAAGACCATAGGATTTTGATTATTCAAAACTGGACACAGCTGTCCTCTGGGCATAGGGCCTCTTGTAAATTGTCCAAGGTTTAATAAGCCACGTTTAAACCGGGTTCCACAACACCTTAAACATTTGTCTGTAAACTCTGGTGCAAAACGCGGGTTAACAGGTTACAAGTGCTATGAAAAAGTGAACAACTTTTTGACGAAAACTAATTCTACACTCACTTATCCAGTTGTAGGTTAACTTTTGGGATAACAAGGTGTGAATGAATTGTATGTATAGGTTTAGGAAGTCAACAGGTGGATATGATTTGACCTTGGCCATCCACCGCCCACAAGCCCTGGGCACTCGTGACCCCTGTACTACCCGTCCTACAAACATGGCGACCCCGCTACTGCCGTCGTGACCTCTCCATTACCCGTTCTCAAAACATCGGGTCGCTGGAACTGTACCGTGGTCCAGTCCAGCATTCCTTCTGTCATCCCCACCTCTGACCTTCGTACCGTGTGTAATTGGATGTAATACGTTTTGTGCTTGTACCTGAGTAAAGAAAGACAGACTTGTGAGGGAGTGAAGAAGAAGATAACACGCGAAGTGATAGAAGTTAATTAGTTTGATACACGTACATTTCGAGATATATTTTACAGGAGATGGTCAATGTACTGAACTAGCTAACCTAAAAATGTTAATGTCAAAAAAACTGTCGGTTGTTCAGTAAAGAACCTAAGAGTTTCGGAAGACAGTGTTGTAATGGGTGTCAATAAGATACATCCGACCTGCTATCCATCCTAAAAATAGAATGATGATGAGGTTTGTAAGTATATAACCAAGTTGATGCAAACTTTTTTCAATATCTGTTTATGAGGGTTGATCAGTGTACCAGCTAACCTAAAAAACTGAAATAATAATGAGGCTTGTAATTAGAATCAAAGAGGTACGCGGGTAACACAGTGATGTGAATGTAGATAATATTGATTTGAGAATTTCAGAAAATGTTTAGAAGTCAACCAATGAATGAACTAACCTAAAAATTCTCGAGAACTTCAAGAGTTATTTACGGGAGATGACTATATTGTAGATTACCCAAAAATGTAATTATTAACCAGGCGTTTGTATGTGTTTAGCATAGAATCTAAGCTGAAGCTTGTTGCAAGTAAATA